CTGACAAACTTCATTTCATTATGCTTTGCTTATTTATTTATTTTGTTGTTTTATTTTTATCAATTAACAAATATATCTTGAACAATAGATTACACATGTATGGTACATGTACGAATTAAAAATAAAAAAAAGAGAGGACCGAATTTTCATTTTTTTGTTGTTTCAAAACGCTAAAAAGAAGATAATACATGATTTAATAGATGATGTTTGAGTAGTTTTCAATAAATACAGATTTGTGTTCATCTATTGAAACTAGTATGAAAATAAATATTTCGAGACAAGTGAAATATCAGAACTTTCATGCCACAATGTAAAAATTAATCCTGTATTAAATTTTATAGAAAAAAAAGAACTTGAATTTTCTGTTTATTGTATACATTTTTCTTTTGTTCCGCATTAAAATTTGACGACATTATGATTATGTGATTTGGTGACTTAGAAGAATATAATCCGACAAGACAACAATGACAATATGAAAATAATTTCACTGCAGTGAAAAATAAATTAAACGGAACCACTCATATTTATGTAATAAAATATTTGTTTTCAATATTTCTGAATTTATATTTAGAATATTCAAAAATATAATGAAAAGAGGATATGAAGTTTTATCTGTAAATGCGTGTTTTATTTCATCCAGTGATATAGAAATAAATATTTCACCAGTTGATGTAGACACATGTTAAATGAAATAATTTGATAATAATCAATTTTAGGAAAATATTGAATTGCCTGTTTATTAAAGTTTTCTCTGTTTTGAAAATGATTATTTATTTTTTTGTTTATTTTAATATGTATATTGACGAAAGTAGTTACGACACCAGGGATAAGTACGGAAAATATGTTACATGTAGTAAAAGTAAACTTATACATAGAAAAATATGGAAAATGAAAATGATCATTTCATTTCATCAATCCTTCTTAATATTTTTTTCGAAAATGCATTATGATTAAAACATATATTTGACACTACATTTATACATAAGAATTAAGTACAACATATGCTTATCGATTTTTTAAAAGTTTTATATTTTACTTGAATAAGTACGGTAAGTTATTTGATAAATATATTTATTTTCTTAACAGTAAGATGAATAATGAACAGATAAATGTGATATGTTATATAGCCCGTTATTATATTTTTCTTGTATACAAATTAATATCGGACGTATTCTTTTCTCTCTACTCTATATTCTCAAACAAGTATAAAAACATGAATCTATAAATGATCAGACATTTGTGTTTTTTTTAACCCAGGCCTTCTATTTCATATCTAAAAAAATATTGACCGTCTACAATTTAAAGGTTTTTGTAATCTGCGTAAATTACTGTTATATTAACCCATTTGAAAGTTAGATGTGTGTTTTCATGAAATATTTCCGAACAATCATTTCCAACATTATCCTTAGAAAATAAACCCATTTAAAATGATAGTGGTATCATATATCCGCAGAACGAACAGGTACAATGCGTTTCGTCTGAGGTTAAAAAGTTAGGGGAATTATTCCCCTAAGTCAGCACTGTACTGTCACTATCTGTGCATGTAAAATTGTTGCTGAAAAAGCGCATTGAGGTCGACCCCCGGAAAAAGGACATCTGGAATTTCCTTTTTTATTCTGGAACGCATTAGTTGTTATCAATTAATATCCACCATTAGGACTTATCATCTGGCGACGAGGATAAAAACAAACAAAACGGAATTACTTATATAATATTTGGATATATTTTCATGTGTTAATTGATGGATTAAGACGTTAACAATGAACAATTTACCAGCATTTCCAAGTTTTGATCTTGAAACGGATAAATCCAATGCAGGCACGCGTTGGGAGAAATGGATTGGGCGCCTCGAAAATTTATTTGTGGGGATGAAAATATCAAACGCTGACCAGAGAAGAGCATTATTACTACATTACGCCGGAGAAAAAGTGTACGACATCTATGACGTAGAGAAAAAGGACAGCGCAGCGACTTACGACGCAACAAAAAAGGTACTTAGCGACTATTTTGCTCCCAGAAAGAACGTTCAAATTGAAATTTACAACTTTAGATCATACAAGCAATTAGAAGCACAAACGATTGATGAATATGTGACTGAGTTAAGAACTTTGGCAAAGAACTGTGCATTCGCAGACATTGACAATGAAATTTTACAACAAGTGATACAACATGGCCGCTCAAATCAACTCAGAAGAAGAGCGTTACGTGAACCAGATAAAAAACTCGATGACATTATTACAATGGGACGTATGTTTGAACAATCAGATATGCAAGCATCCGCAATGGAAAATTCAGAAAATTCTAGATCTGTACACAAGGTTTCAAAGTTCAATAGTAGAACACGAGGACGAGCGCCGATGTCTCATGGCCGTGGGAACAGTAGAGGGTCGTATGCAAATTTTGGAGGTCGTGGGAAATATGGTCCGAAGAACCAATCGAATCAACGAAGTAGACCACGTGATGGTGCGTCAGCCAATACTTGCAGAAAATGTGGTTATGAATTCCCGCACAGAGATAAGCCGTGCCCAGTCACAGGTAAAACCTGCAATGTATGCAAGAAACCTAATCATTTCGCGCGCTGCTGTTTAGCGCCGAAATATCAGCATGTCAAAGAGGTCAGCGATAACGCCAGCAGTTCGCTACAGTTCGATTCGGAAGAGGAGTACCTCTATAACATCACAGTGAAAAATGTCGGTAAACAAAAAGGATCAAAAACGCCCAAAACACAGATAAAAGTCAACGAATAAAACGATTACGGCTACAATAGACACAGGATCAAGTGTGAATATACTAGATGAAACCACGTATGATTACTTAGGAAAACCTAAAATAAAAACAAAAGGGCTGCCAAATTTACTTCCATACGGAGGGCGAAGTGCATTAAACGTAAAGGGCTGTGTGAATTTAACGGTCGAAAAGAACAGAAAAATACACAGTAACACCATTTTATATTGTGAAAGGAAACTATGGAGCTCTATTAGGGTGTGAAACATCATGTGAATTAGAAATAATAAAAATAAACCAAGGATAACGGCCAATATGGAAGATAAATATCAAGGAATTTATGACGGTATTGGGAAATTAAAAGGACAAAAAGTCAAATTACACATAAACCGTGATGTAAAACCTGTAGCGCAGAGAAATCGACGTACGCCATTTCATTTAAGAAAGAAAGTTCAAAAGGAAATTGAAAAGCTACTTGAAAATGACATCATAGAAGAAGTTAAAAATGAATCAACACCATGGGTGTCACCGATTGTCACCCCACCGAAGAAAAATGGAGATGTAAGATTATGCATAGACATGAGAGAGGCAAACAAAGCTATTGAAAGAGAACGGCATCCAATGCCAACAATAGATGAAACTTATACACGACATGAACGGTGCAAAAGTGTTCAGCAAACTAGATTTAAAAGCTGGATATAATCAGCTGGAATTAGATGAAGAATCGAGATCAATCACTACATTCTCTACACACATGGGCTTATACAGATATAAACGTTTGAATTTCGGTACTAACTCTGCAAGTGAAGTGTTTCAGAAAACAATCAGTTTCTATCATTCAAGACATAGCTGGTGCCAAGATATTTCGGATGATATAATAGTGTATGGAAACAGTCAAAAAGATCACGACAAGGCACTTGATCAAGGTGTTTCATGCATTGCATCGTAACGGGCTGACATTAAATAGAGAAAAATGTGAATTTAACAAGCTTGAAATCACATTCTTTGGAGTTGTATTCAGAGGAGACGGCATTTCACCAGATCCAGTGAAGGTTCGAGCAGTGAGAGACATGCAACAGCCCACAAACGTATCTGAATTGAGGAGTTTTCTCGGAATGACATCGTATTGCTCGAGATTTATAAAGGATTATGCGACAATAACGGAACCATTGAGGCGTTTAACAAAAAAGGACACACCCTGGTCATGGGAAAATGATCAGCAAGTCGCGTTCGAGAAACTGAAAAGAGAATTAAGTAGTGATACGGTTATCACATACTTTAGTCCATTAAAAGAAATTGAGCTAATAGTAGATGCTTCACCAGTCGGTATATCTGGGATACTCACACAGGAAGGAAAAAATTATCGCGTACGCGTCTCGTGCACTGACACAGACAGAATCACGTTACTCACAAACAGAAAGAGAGGCTCTGGCAGTAGTATGGTCGTGTGAGCACTATTCGATGTACTTAAGAGGTGCTCCAACTTTCACGTGCTTCACAGATCACATGCCACTGACGAAAATATGGCAGAAGAAACAGCCACCACTACGAATTGAACGATGGGGATTTCGTCTACAACCATTTAATGTAAAAATTGAATACAGCCTGGAAAGGATAACCCGTCTGATTACATGTCTCGTCATCCGTTGAAATGTGACGAGCAGAGAAATATAGCCGAGGAATATATGTAGCATTCGTTTCCGCACAGGCAGTGCCAAATGCAATGACACTAGATGAAGTAAAATTAGAATCAGTCAAAGATAAAACTATACAGAAAAAGCGATTGAATACGCAAAAGAATGGAAAATGGCATGAAATGAAAACAGTGACAGATTTTAAAATCGACATGGAAGAGCTGGTGGTACTCAGAAGCGTAAAAGATGAATTGACGGTTCACAATGACACGGTCTTATTAAGAAATGACAAATTAGTGATACCGAAAACACTCCGAAATCGTGCAATAAAAATGGGACATGAAGGGCACCAGGGAATTGTTAAAACTAAAAGCTATATACGATCAAAAGGTATGGTTTCCGAACATGAATGCAGAAATTGAAAAACAGCAATACAAAAATGTCTAGCCTGTCAAGCCAACTCAAGGGAACCAAGACCGCGAGAACCACTGAAAATGTCAGATTTGCCATCTGGACCTTGGAAAAATATAAGTGCAGATTTTTGTGGACCTCTAGAAAACGGTGATTACCTATTGGTTGCAGTAGATGAGTACTCGCGATATCCAATAGTGGAAATAGTAAAGAGTGTTTCAGCAAATATGGTCATACCGGTTATGGACAAAAATAATTTCAATGTTTGGTGTCCCCAAAGTGATTAAAACAGATAATGGATCGCCATTTAATAGTACGGCATTTGCGGACTTTGCAAAATTTTACGGTTTATACACAGAAAAAAATCACGCCTAGGTGGCCAAGGGCTAATGCTCAGGCAGAAGCATTCAACAAACCGTTGATGAAGAGTGTTAAATCGGCATTCATGGAGGGAAGGAATTACAAACAAGAACTGTTCAGGATTTCTCCGCCAGTAACAGAGCTACACCGCACGTGGCAACTGGATTTACGCCATTTCGGCTAATGTTCGGAAGGGAACCGGTAAACGCGTATGCCAGACATTAATCAACACCAAAATGAGGACACGCGTGCAGACGAAATAGCACGAAGAAATGATGAGTTATCCAAAAGCAAAAATCAAAACAATACGAGGACCAGCGAATGAACGCACGAGAACGAAACATTAACGTCGGAGACAGAGTTTTTACTTAGAAACGAAACACCAAGAAAAGTCAAGTACAATGTATAATCCAGTCCCATATAAAGTTATAAACAAAAAGGGACCCAATGATAAGTGTTCGAAATGATGAAGGACATTGTGTCACCAGGAACTCATTCTGTTATAAAAACAGTAGATCCAGACTTAATGGGGAATACGCCTAAACAGCACGGGGAAAGCGATATTGAGGACTATCAGGGGGAGGAACTCGCTGAAAGACAAAACACGAGTTATGCGACAAGGCCAGCACGAAGATAGTCGTCCGCCCGCATATTTAAAAGATTTTGTAAGTTAGATTATTGGTTCCACAGTGAAAATGGGCATAATAAACCCAGTGGTACAAGCAGGTCACGCGATCTGCCATGCGAGTTTAATAAGTGTATACATCATGGATATATTTTATGTAATTAGATTCTCAATAGAAAAAAATTAATACGTAATAGCGCAAATAGTAAACATGACACCCTTATATACGGCAACATGATTTAAATGACAAGTACATTGAAGTTCTAATATAGTGTGGACATTAACAATGCATTTAACAACAAATATTTAAGAGAAAAATAAACAAATTATCAGATTTAGAACAAAATAAATATTCATGTTTGTATAGTGTAAATGTTCGATATTGCTCAATGTAGTGGATCTATTATTTAGATACCTGCAGACTATAGTAAAAACTGACATAGAACTGACCTACAAAACGAAATTGGGGAATGTGTCAACAGCCATGGAGTGAACATTTCTAGAGAAAAAAAGTTAGGATGAATTTTACAGTTAGATTCATTTATATGTATTCCATCGTAATCAAATAATTGTAAAGAATAGTTTATCCATGTTTAGTAATATCAGTTTACATAACTATAATATAAATATTTTTCATAATTCATAATTTGATATTCATATAATGATTTAAGCATTTGATTTGTTCAATTTAAAACTGATGTTTTATATCTAACTTTGAGGAGGGATGTGATGTCCCTATAGACTAATGTTATAATGTATGTGAGACCACCATAGTATATATGTATGCTGTATGTAATATGATACCGGGACTTCCGGAAAAACATGGAACCTTAGTAAACACGATTAAACCAGAAACATAGTTGTTATCAATTAATATCCACCATTAGGACTTATCAGCTTTATTCGAGCATTTGCTTGTGACATTTCTCTTTTCCATCGTTTCAAAGCACCTTTTCTTTTGTTTGAAGGAAAACTCATCCGCACTCTCAAACGCCCCCTATCTTGAGATGAACTTGTTTCTGCACTCTCATATCCACTTGTTTCAAGATCAACATTACTATTTCGCTGTCTCTCTTCTCTTTTAAGTTGAATAAATCTTCTAAGCTTCACACGGTTCTTTTCATTTCTCAATTTTCGATCATTCCCATAAGGTTCATGTGATGGTATATTGTTTCGTCTCATACGTTCTCTTTCTTTCCTCAAGTATTCCTCTGCATTCTTTTCTTTCAATCGTTGGCGATAAGCCTTTTGTATTTCAGCTCTGCTTTTCCCCATTGATCCTGAAATAGAATTAAACCTTCGTTACCTAACATAGACCTTCGTTACTAATGCTATATTAATACATTTTAATGAAATAAATGAATATTTCAATACATTTACGTTACACATACCACATAACATGTACAATATTTCATTTAAAACAACTTTGCAATTTATATTATGTTACAGTAATACACTTTTGTGAAAACATAAAACACTTATTTAATCGGCATACTTATATGACGATATTTCTGTAGAAATGTTGTGTTTGTATGACTGTAAATATTTTATTTCACAACCTTAAAACCACTCATAATTTTGTCAATCTCTTTAAGTAACGTCATATAGTCGACTAAGATATCTCACATAAACTTTCGTTACTTGATCATAACGAAGGTTTACAATATTTCATATTGGTAAATATAGGTGATGGCTGTATTTATTGTTTATGAAATATAATATATCAAAAATATATTTATTGATGTTTCAATATCAAAATTGTAATTCAAGTTGAATAACATTTAATAAAAATACATAGGAAGAAAAAGAAACACCTACTTTTGTTTACAACGCGCGGATTTTTCCAGACTTTCAGACTTCCTGGGCAGCCTCGTGGTAGTTTCCAATGTCGTGTGACATCATGAGATTGCAATGACGTCATAGTTATGAACCAATTACTCTATTCTCGATTTGTGTGGGCATTTGTAATAGAGTAACGAATATTTATGTATCG